TTTGAAAGCTTTTCAATTTCATGCGTCTGTTTTTCTTTTTTTTTTGCTTCTCATTTTTCTGTTTTTCTATCCTTGAAATGCTTACGAGGGTCCCTCTTCGCTTCTTTTCTCTTTTCTCTTGCGTTTACTTGCTACTTCTCAAATTTATGAATTCTTATGATTTTTTCTGTTTGTCTATATATTTACTCTCTAACACCTACATGAGCAGATTCAATACTCTGTGTAGTGAAATTAATGTAGCTGTAAATTCCATTACATTTATGTTATACTCAATACTTAACAGAGAGAATACATGAGACTATTGAATACCAGACCAATACAAGAGGCACTCAAAAAAGAATTAGACTTTTTTTTACCCATTTGAACCATGAATGTTTCAAACTATCAACCTGAAAATTTTACCTTCTAATATTCTTCCTTTGAAAAATTAGCCAATATTGACTTTTAGCACTATCGTATATTTACGGGGAAAAAAACAACAAAAATTACCCTATAAAAGTTATGCCTGTTTATGTTTCAGTAGATCATTCAAATCTTTCATGGAATGCATCAAAATATAGAGAATTGAAAGGTAAACAAAATGAGCTATTTGGATAGTGTATAAAATATAACGAGTCGAGTTTTATATATCCAACATAATTCAAAAAAGTCCTTATGGGTCAGTTCAGAACGTCTTATCATTTAAGCATTTCAGAGTGTTACATGTAGGAGTTTAATTAAAAAAAATTGACTGTTCTTTTGCTGTTTTGCGATTTGTCGACACTTTCTTTCAACACACCCAAATTGTTACGGACACTGACACCAGTACGTACATCAACATCTACATGCTCCTCCACTCCATACCCCTTTTGAGTCAATTTTAATTCGTTCCATTCGAAAAAAACATATGTGGAAAGACTATTTTCATTATTTAATGTGATTTGCACAATATGATAAGAATACAGCTGCTAAACCAATGAGTGTAATAAGTCATTAGAAAGCCGATCATATACTGTAATATCGGCGTCGATATCACCTTATTCTGCTCTACCAACAATTAGTTCACGTTGTCTAACCTTAACTTTATGATTACTGCTGAAGTCGAGAAATAAGTTTCTATTACTTTGATTATCGCATATTTTCCACGCTTCAAAAAATACTAAATTCTGATTGAAAATATATCACTTATTCGTCAACCATTAGTGTTTGATATAAACTTAACTCATTGTATGCTTGTAAAAACTTTGATGACTATAGTGTTATGACTCATCATTGATAATGCCAGAATTTCAGACAATATTTATCCACTTCAATATCTATTTCGATTTGTTGTTTCTAAGAATATATCATTTTCATATTTGTGAAAATGACTACGACATTAATCATATATGAATAATAAGTAAATGATTAACACATAAAAATCAAGTCCAACTCTTGATTGATCGATTTGATTTCATTTAAACAATTGCAAAACCATTTTAAAGGATCATTCGTAATCGCAAAAAAAGTATGATAGAAAATCGTTGACTGCATTCTTTCAGTTGTCTGCAACAAATCAGAAATGAAATATTTCATTCACTTAATCTGGACGAGACCAAAAATTGTCTGAAATGCATATTCTTCGTTGTTTTGTTGTTAAAACAGTTGATAGAGAAGTACATTGTATTATGTAAAAACAATGTTATATAATCGTCTAGATAAAAAAGTCATAGTTTTGATGAAGATGTTGTTTTTTAGATCATCAACAACAAATAGAGATTTTATGATATGCTTAATTGTTAGGTACTTTTCTTCATCAATCCAAGAAAGATTTTGTAATAACTTTTCTTATTTAATATCAGTTCAGTTGCTCGATCGAATGGATCGATATGATAATTTAAAGAAAAATTGAACCATACAGATAAATTTGAGAGTAATTTTCGAAGAATATCATGTCGAATTCTTTGAAAACCTTTTTAAAACTTTTTATCGATTGTTAAGTTATATTATTTGATATCGAACAATACAACAGAAAAAAAATCATTCGTTTAATTACTACGTAATTTTTTAAACTCATTAAGTATTATTCATATTCACTTTTTTCCACAAACACGATTGCATTAATAACAGTACCATTAATGGTTTAGCAATGCTATTGATTAAACCAGTATAATTGAGAAGATCTTCTGAGAAAAAAACTTTCCAGAGAAGTTTAATAACTCTAGCTCAAGTACCAAATACTATCAGAGAAAAAAAAAAGCGATAAAATTAATTTTTTGTTTTTTTAATTCATAACTTTTCCAAATGATTTGACTAATGAAGCTCACGAAAAGAATGGAACTGTGAAAGTTTATGAAAAACCTATTGTAGCAGTTCGAACAACCAATCTAGTTTGATTGCATGATATTAATTGTCTATGATTTCTAATATTGAATAGTCTATTGATTAAATATCAGAATTTACTGAATAGTAACGTATTGATATCAATCTACAACATTTATACATGTAAAAACTGTTTTTACTTTTTATAATGACAAATTCATACAAAATAATTATGTATTTACACATAATGCTTGTTTAACTCTTTTCTTTTGTAAGTTTCGACCTTTTTTTTCTTCTCTTAATGACAGGTACATACCATTTAACTACCATTAGTCTTTACAAGAAACAGAACATGAATCTAAAAAACAACGTGGATATGTATGTAAATAATTCTTTTTTACTGCATCATTGCAGAGCGATTATACGTAGGAGATCGTTGTTTTGTAGAGATTCTTAATTTCAAAATTCGTAGAAATTATTTTCAACATTTATTGTACTGAAAAACAAAAAAAAAATGTTCTTTATTTATTTATCACAAGTGAATAAAAGAATTTTTAATATTTTCAATACATTAATAAACATTACACAGAATAGACACATTAACAAAATTAGTTCATTAAAAATTAATTTTTTCAAGCAAAAAACATCGCAACTCTTTTTCTTTTTGTTTTCTTCAACCAGGAATGCAGAACAATCGGAATTCAAAAACAAATAAGAAAACGATTTTCGATCAAGTTCATTCTCTTGTTTAATATTTTCTATTTAATATTCCGATGCAATACACACGCTACATGTTCTTTATCTGACAAATGATATACAAACTATTTTATTATTATTATTATTAGCATTATTTAATTCTATGAGCACGTGGATCCTATAAGAGAAGTCAAGTTCTACTTATGGAGTCAAAAAATCGAAAAAAGTTTCATGATGACGTTTCTGACGATGAAACAGACAAAAAAATTGATGTTTTTTTGCAAATTAATTGGTGCAAAACGACATTTTAATTAAGCAAATGCAGTAAATTTCATTTTTTTTTTATCAAAATCATGGAATAAAATTAATGAAAACATCTATTTCACTTGATTAATTTGAAATACATCAATTTTTTGTCCATTTTATTATTTTAATGTTATTTTTTTATTTTTTAACTTCCTAGGTAGGGCCATAGATATCAGTAATCAACCGAATTAAAAAAAACAAGAAAAGAAAAGAATGAAGCAACAAAAATATTACAAAAAAGGAAAAATAATAAGATTAGAGAGATTTCTTAGAGAGAACCTCATGAGAAGCAATAAAAACATACAAGCACTGATGAGGCAACGTGTCACTTGTGCTAGATAAGCGCATTTATTGCCACCTTAAGATTATTCATCACGAACTGGATTGTTCAGTCCTCGACAGTCTATTATTAAACTGATATATTATACCATCAAACTGTTTATTGTCTTCGTACAACTATTGTTTTAAACGATTTTTTAGCTCACCGACTGTTAATTGATCGTTGTGACTTACCGTTGACACATGTCTACTAATAGCTGAATATGTTAACTGAAATTTTTAGTTACAAAATATTTTATTTATTATATCAGATATGTCAAATAAATTATTCATATGATATCTATTCTATTTAACCATTGAATAATTCAATATCTTCGAAAATCTCAACTAGTCTTTGACAATAGAAAATAATTTATAACAATGTAATGTGGATTTTTATTCCTGCATGTTGCTGGCAGAATATGTTAATCAACATCAAACCTTCTTTTTTTTTTACTTCATTACTCGCTTAATTTTTACATCCATCATAAATTCTCTGCTTTTATTCGATATTATTTCTAATATTCAAAAAATACTGACAAATACACAAAAATATTTTTCACTGTTAATGGAGTGTGAAACAGTTCACTATTGTTTTTTCTATATTTAACCTTCATGTATGTCTACAAAAAATATAACTGAAGAATAATATTCTTGTCTAGAGTCAATAAACCAAACTATGAGGTGTACTTCATGACCTGTTGACAGTAGGTAATCATAGAAACTGATTTTAAAAAAATTTGTCAATACATGGATCTATTTCTCTGTGCATGGCAAACTCAACTACAATAATAATATGCAGAATGAATTACAAGAAACGAAAAAGATTAAAAATGAAGTACACACAATACAAATGCACGTAGAAATCTTACCAACATTAATTAAAACAAAAATAAAAAGAAATGATTTTTTTAGTATTTTAGATTAGTATGTACGATTGAATTATCTTGTCAAGAGATTAATTAAATATTTCAAGAGTTTTTGTTTTGATAAAATGATTATAAATGCTATAGTAGCATTTACGAGATATCAGTTATAGAGAAGTTATTGATGACTATGAAACCATTGTGTATTTTTTTCTTTACCTTGTAATTCCTGTTTTGCTGCCGATCTCTCTTCTTTTCTTTTCTTTCGCGTTTTTTTTCTCTTGTTTTTTCAGTCCTCTGTTACATTCAACGTTATTAGACGGTAAAGAAGAAAAAAAAGACTTTCATGCCTACCGTCCGTCGTCCTAAATTATTCTCCGCTTTTCTCCTTTTTTTTTTGACGACGTCTCTTCTGTTAAAAAAAACTCATAGGTGTGTGTGTATGAAACTCGATTAACTGAAAAACATAGAACGAATCATCGTATAACGATTATAAACCTTGATTATACCGTAACATCATACATTAAAGGGTAAATGTTGGAAAGTTCAGAAACTATTGAAGACGATCGAATAGTAGCAAAATGTTATGTTGAATTGGGTGATGTTACCAAAGAGAAAGGCGAATATGATGAAAGTCTTCGGTATCATCGAAAGTCACTGGCAATATTTGAACAAATTGCTGATGCACTTAGTGTAGCTGACAGTCATTTGAATATTGCAGCAGTCTACAAAGCCAAAGGTGAACTAAAACAAGCAATGAGTGAGTATGAAAAAGGATTGACATTATATGAAGATGTTATTGTGGATGATGCAAATAAAAACAGTGATAGTGGTACAGATGTTTCTCTCAATTCGTCTTCCTTCTCCGATCGACAACATACTAGAAGTCTTAGCAAGTCGGATGAAACTTTACCACAAACAATATTAGTAAATGTTATAGAAAAAGATATTCAATTATCTTCTCCTGTACATTCATTAAATGGTACAATAAATACGTCGATAACTGCATTGGATTTACTCGTTCCATCGACGAAAAAACCAAACGAATTGAAAAATATTTCACAATCAATGACAAATATCAATGATTCTTCTCTAAATCCATCTGAAAAAATTACCAATGAACTCCCAGAGTCTCTTTCATCTTCACACATATCTGACATTCAATGTATCAATGATGATGATATATTACCTTCAGATCTTGCCTATGAAAAAATGACAGTCGAAATAACATCTGAAGAGAATTATATTTTTGAAACATGTTTGCCATGTCCGGAGCCAAACGAGTTGGTTAACCAAGATTTATTAGTATTAGAGACGAATCCCTTATTGGAAGAAACCAATAATTGTAATGTAAGTTATCATTATAATTTTCTAGTTAAAAAAAACATAGTCTCAGAGCTAGATATAGGCAAGATGATCCCGCGGGAACCAACGCTTTTTCATTGAAAGTGATATCTTTTATAGTCTTGTAAAGCTTGAGTCACATGTCATGTTCTCACGACTTATGTATTTTAAAAATTTCTATGAAAACTGTTAAGTAACGATCACTTCAATATTCGCTATTACAATTTTCATAATAAATTGAATTCATTTTTTTTTCGTAAATAACAGATTTGTCGAACACCTCGACGTGCACAATAGACGAAATATTATTGAATGAAAAAAAAGGGGGGTAATGGATCCCCAGGAGAGATGACATTAGAGGTCATACACTATTTTTGGAGTTTATTGACACTACCAAAAAATGATATCGCATATTTTACTAGTACATTTATTACTAAGTACAAAACCAGAGCCAAAAATTTTTCTCATTGGAACCAAAAACGCTTAGTTTCACTCATCACTAATTAGAGCAAAAGGTCATATGAAGAAAAAAAAACATCTATCTAGAGACCATTCTTATTAATTTTGAGAGAAAAAAATTAATTTACATTGAAAAGGATCTGTTTTTTCTACGATATTTGAGATCTTGATACTTCTTACACTAAGAAATAAACTAAACATCGAAGACAACTATAGATTACATCGATCCGAACAATCATGAAAAAACAGAAAAATGATGTTTTTTTTTTTTTGATGAATCATTGTACTCTAGGGAATATTGAGTGACTATTCGATAGTATCCAGACTAATGATTCCGGTTGGAAAACTCGGGAAAATAGTAGGAATTTGGAAGCAGAAATCTAGTGACCAGATTTTTCTAATTCCGGGCGAAGTCGGTCACCGGATTCCTACTTCCAACTTTCTATTATTTTCTCAAGTTTTTCAACCGGAAACGGCCCGTATTTCTTCACTTGAGTATATGTGCGCTCAGTTACATTGAATTCATCAAGAATTTTAATAAACACATGACAATATCAAAAAATACATTCAAACTTTGAATTTTCAAATTATTTTCTATGGCTTTACTAATACGTTTGATAATATAGCTGAAAGAGACCGCCGGTAAGTTGCAATGGAATAGACGTTCATTTATCATTCATTTACACTTTGTTTAAATCAACCAAAATAATAAGACGATCATATTCTATAGTACAAACAAAGAATCATTTTCTTTTTAATAACATAAGATTTCTCTACTTCTAGCAATTGACTAATATTCATGAAGACACAATATCGAACAATCATAAACAGGCAAAAAAAAAAAAGATATTCCTTATGACTTTAGTTATATAATTTTTATTTTCTTCATAGGCTGACAGTACGCAACGATTGTCGCATTGTCTTCTAAATAAACAGTTTCTAATCATTATTCTTAGTATTCTTCTTACCGGTGCTGCTTTCTGGTTATTACATAATACTTCAATGAAATTTCTGCTATCATGTTCATCGAATAAGTTTCCTATACATAGAAATTCTCGCATTTATAATAATGATGATTTAAGTGCACAACTTAAAAAAATTTTACCTTGGCGAAAAAATCAAATTAAATCATTAAATGAAGATGATCGACGAGCAATTGAAGAATTCTTAACTGATTCTGAAAATCAAACTAAAATGACTGTGAATAAATTTCAACAAATATTGAATATGTTGGACTTAAAACTAGTATTGATACCACGATAAATAGGGATTTACATAAAGATTCCTTGATTTTTTTTTTTAATTGTGTACAAATTTTTTTTTTGATATATTCAAGTAGTTATAGCTTATACTAGCATAAAAGAATACAGAAAAGAAAAAAACAAACTTTGTATGTTATGATTGCATTCGAAAAGAATAATATTTTATGAACGAGAAAATGTTTTTATTATTCAAGTTGAAGGTCAGCAGTAATTTATTATTAAAAATTTGAGTGATATTTACTTGTCCTTTAATGTTAGTTATGACACCTTAATATTACAAGAGATGTTATAGATATTCTCAACCAATTGTATAATAAAAGTATTGTTTCGTACAATACCCTTCAATTGATAAATCAAAGAGAATGTCTGATGATAAAACCAATAAACACTAAGTCCTATTTACCATAAATTCAATAGGTCCATTTTGTTAATGACATGCGAAATCAAAATGATGTATGCTCCATCAGACCATTACGATGATTTTTTAAATATATTTGTTTGTGTTTACTGTTTTTTTTTTGTGGAAAAAAAACATAATTCACTGTTAGAATATCATCTTGATACTGATGCTCTTTCATTTATTGAATGAAAAAGAGTGACCTATTCTATATTAAAATTGTTGAGTCTTAATGCATTGAAGCTATATAACAAGAAAAATCAATTAATGGTCTAATAAAAAGGATATCTTTTCGTGCTCTACTATACCAATTGTCATTTATGCGGTTATTTTATTGTTTTGATACTAATCATCTATATATTTTTTATAAGAGAATAATCAATATGATTATCAACGATGGAAATAGCTCTGGCTAAAGTTTTTCTGCTCGAAATTCTTTCTAATTAATACAATAGTAAAAATGGAGTGAACAAGTTAATAGATTATATGTATACAGCAAGCATCAAAATTATTCAACAAGGTTTATTTTCATTTTTTTTTGGCACTCGTAAGTACTAGAAAGAGTCGAAATAGTGATAGACATCTCATATTGTAGTGTTCTTTGTCGTCTAAACAAAATTATGTTTATGCATTCTAAGTATTGAAAAACTAGAGTGTTGATTTTCTGAAGTTTCTATTTTTAGAAATCTGAGAATTCGTTATATTCTTATTGGAAACCGTTTTCTTTATTCGAATTACTTTTTGGATTATTTCTAACGCTTAGGATAGTGTAAAAATTTGTTGAATAATTTTAATACTCAACGTATGTTGTAGGCAATCTTAAAATTCAGGCAAATTTTTAATTTGCTTAGACGAAGTTGGAATTCGACTAGAGATAAATTTCTACAATCAAAGCAATTAAAATTTGAATAGAAGAACTATTTTCTTTTTTTATCCAATAATATGTTTTCATTACACTAAACAATTTACAAGACAAAACATTTTAATCAATTTACTCATATTTGTGTACAATCACTTCGTTTTGAATGACATTTTGTCAAACCAAAAAAATTCCAGTTTTTGTTTTAAACAAACATTATTTTGTAGCGCACTCATCTTTACAATCGCAAATGTGATCACCTATTGAATTTGATTCAGATGTCTTTTTATTAGATTGTAACGCGTACATCTATATTTAGATTAATAAAGATGCTTGGTTGGAACGTTTTTACAAATATTTTATTATCAGTAAACAGTAATTTTCATTTGATTATTTGTAAACATATTTAAATACTAATAAATTATAGAATTTTCATATGTTAATATTCAATTATTAACATGTCGAACAATACTATACCGGACAAAATTGTTTGGACGATTTTGTTTTGCGTATAACTATCTTATAAAGTTAGCTTTTGAGGTGTGGCTTGCGTCAAAATTACAGGCATCGTCTATAGTATTATTCACAGAAAATTTCATCCATAAATGTTGAGTTATAGTGGAACTATATATATAACAATGAGCAGTAGTCAATCTCTGTTGGACGATGTTTTAAACTGAGTTATTTTTTTCCACAAATGTTCAAAAAGGACTAAATACATATG